CATTCACGAGTCAGGTCTTCATTCATCCATCCGTTCACAGATGAGGCTACATACCACTTATTTTTATACTCCTCATTAAGCTGCTTTGTTTCTCTCTTGGCTCCCGGAAAGACAATAAACGGCTTTAGTTTTGTTCCGTCTGCCTTTGCTGTCAAACAGACAGACACTTTGGACTTCTCATGTCCTGTTGTCTTCAGTCTAATTGATTTTTCTCCCACGTTGTCAACAGTAGTGCTGGACAGCATATCTTGCCAGACAGCTGTTTCGTCCATGGCAATAATGTCACTATGATTGTAGGAATGCCTGTTTCGCTGTCGTCGTACTTGTAAGATATAGGCAATAAGCTTGTCGATTTTTTTTGGGGGGGTGGGGGTGGGTGGGCGCTTATTCGAGGTTGGGCACTTAAAAGTACTTTTTCGGGGTGGGGTGGTGGGTGGGGGTGGGCGCTTATTCGAGGCTGGGCGCTTATTAAATTTTTCTACCTTCAGGGTGGGCGCTTATTCGAGGTGGGCGCTTATTCGAGGTTGGGCGCTTAATCGAATAAATACGGTACACAGGATACCCACTCAATCTGCGTGTGAAACCGATTGTTATTTCACAGTAAATGTAATGGATTTACCGTTTGCCTCACCTATAGCGATATGTCGCTAATTATGTATATAAATTAATGTTAAATAAACGCTGAATTACCTTACATGTGGTAAATTGTCGTCCTTTTGCCTCAAAAGCGGTTTTTTGAGCGATTTTGAAGGATTTGAATTCGCCGTTTACCGTTCCTAAAACCTCTTTTGAGGCAAAAGGACGACTATATACCACAGGTAAGGCAATTCAACGTTTATTAACATTGATTTGTATACATACCTAGTGATAAATCGCTTTAGGTGAGGCAAACGGTAAATACAGGACGGTTTGTGTAGGGGCCCTGTGGTACTGAGGTTAAATTACGTCTGGGACACAGGCTAACGTATTGAGGGGTCCTTTCAATCCGGTTGGTACAAACTAAAAGGAATATCGCTTTCAAAATCTGTGACATGAAATATATCAAAAATCAAACAGAGAGAACTGCCACCAAACTGAGTGATATGGCTCTTGGTAAAACATAAAAATAACAGCTCAGAATATAATAAGAAGGATTGAGAATAAATAACACAGTAAATTCAAAAGAATGCATGGATGGACAAACTTGGGAAGATTGAAGCGGCCTGCAAGATTGCGGGTTTCTTTTTAAGATTTGTCAGCCCAACAGTTTTTCAAAGAGTCTGCAAAGTTCAAATTCGTTGTTTGAATAAACGTTTGAAATACTGCCTGGGACCCTTACAGTCAAACCTCTTTAATACGGACACCAAAGGGACAGAACCACGTGTCTGCTTTACAGAGGTAATCGAACAATAGCAAGACTAAAGTACTGTAGAGCATTTGACAAGTTGGCTTGGCTCGCTGCAGTGTCCTGGTAGGAGTGAAATCTGACAACGACTAGTTGTCTTGTTTCCAGCCTCGCGCTTATCATATTCGCGACTTATTCATATTCACAGACGTAACTCTGCGGTCAAATGGTGTCATTGCTCACCGTTATTCCACTAGGTGACCCAAACGGGTTTCTCAGTAAAATTGTAAGTACCCTAGAGTTCGGATCTACTCACAGGGTTTCCCACCCCTCCCAATTTTCACGGGAAAAGCCCCAGTTTATGTAGCCTGAGTATCAGGTATTCCTAAGGGGCTAGGGGAGAGGAGATTTTAGGTGGCCCTTTTTCGCTTCCATCTTTTCCCTTTTCCCCCCGAAACGCCTGATACTCAGGCTACAGTTTATGTTGAGAAAATAGCGAGGCCGTGAAAAGCTTTTTTCTCATTTTTAAGAGAAAAAAGGAAATAAGACCTTTTTTAACAACCTGTAAGACAAGATCAGCCAGGACTTAGGACTGATACGCCTGGGAGAAAAGTGGTTTGAGCCCTGGAGCCATGTTACACTTTAATTGCTTGGTTGGATACAACTGAACTGGCAAAGAGTATGGTCCCGAAAAGTGCTGTCGATAATTGAAGCCTATATGAAGGTTATAATCTTCCAATCTGATGGTTACTTCGCCAGGAGCCCATTACAGGTTATGCAAACGTCACTCTCATTAACAACATTAAAAGTCTCATTCAGGATCACTTTCGCGTCTATTTTGATTAACGTATTCCATTATTTGAAATAGTAATTCCACATTAGTGTCAGGCCAGATGGCGCACAGCTAACTGTTCACCCACCCCAGCTTACAGCTGTTACTGTGCCTGTTGTTTTAAAGTGAACATTGGCATAACCCTCTACCATTCACTCCATTCCTGACTGGTTTACTGTAAATCCCCAGCTAATTTTCCACAACGGGACAATTTAACCGACGACCAAATTTTGGAAGATATTTGTCATTTCTCTAAAAATTTTAATAGACCTCTTTAGCTTATATGTTTTTTTTTTTTTCAAAAGTAAAAACAAAAAAGTAAAACAAAACACAACAGGTAAGATACTTCAACGTTTATTTAGCATTCAGTTCCATACATAAATCACCACGTTGCCAACTGAATTTAAAAAATAATACATTAATTAACTAGCTACATAAATTTACATAAAAAATTGATAACAAAACTGCGTTCTTTCCTTTTAAACTAGTAATGAAAAAGATATGGCTAACAGGCTTCATTTTTTGTCTGCCTTTTCTTCCTGTGTGAATTTTCAGTGCTAGATACGATCTACTAAATGGGTTTCTCCCCGAAATATTTTGACTTTTCTTCTGTAGAGGTCTCTTGTGCTACTGAGAGCCTGAGAGAGAGGGAAAAAAGTCGAAGGGCACTCACTCTGGACTTTATGATCCGACGACACGATGGCATGCAGGGAAAACGTTGCTTCAAAAATAAATTTGCGTTCTTTCGGTCCTATCGCGATTATTCCAACTCACTTTCTTTGTCTTAAAAGCAGGCGAACCCTCCCGGAGTTGAATTTCTAAGAACCATAACCAAGTTAAGAAATCGTTGTCGTGCAAGAACGAAACGGCAAAGAAATATACAAAAAAGTGAGATGCACGTGCAAAGTAGTTGTAATGCCTACTAGTATTGTTGTTTTTGACGTTCTCGTTGCCGTCGCGTCGTCGGATCGTTAAGTCCCCATATTCAAGAAGCGAGAGCCTCTGCGGAGAAAAGGGATGTTTTAACCTTTTTGGTAACACGTAGAGTTTACTGTGCCTCTAGTAACATTCGTGTTTGTTGCAACTAGCTGCCTTGCAATTAAATTACACGTCCGCTTCAAATAGTTAACGTTCAAACGCCTGTGCACGCTGAAACCATTTTTGTAATCTGAAAGTTTGGAAGCAGCAACTAATACTAAGTTTGCATTTCTTTTTTTTTTTTTTTTTGGGGGGGCACTCTTCGAGTGATGTTTACTCTTCGCTCAGCATGTTCAAAATGAACAGGGTCTGCGGGTTTGGATGATCTGGATAGGCCATGTCTACCAGTGTAGTGTTGCCAGTGCTATCACAAACCAAGTATTTTTTGTAGAACTTGTTCTCGAACATGATGTAACTGTTATAACCGTACCAGTGATACACAAACGTTGCTTTGTCAGGATGTGATAACTTAGCCTGTTCCTTAAATAAACACAAATACAAGGGTGACAAAAGTGATATGAGTATATACAGGTCTTCGTTTTCTATCAGATCTACGCTCATTAGCCAGTTGTTTGTAGGACTTGTGAGTTGGAGACGGGCAACCCTGGCAATAAGTGTCCTAGGGTAGTGAAGTGAAAGTAAAGTAATTTTATTTACTTTAATTCGCTGTACATATCTTTGCTCAAAAGTGAAGAAAGGCGAAAATAACACTGTGAAATTTGTATTCAATAGATCCCGCTAAATACAGGTTTCTATATAAAGGGGCTCAAGCGTCAGAATTGAGTTCTAACTAAAAAAGATTCAAGGTTTAAGAACCTTCACGGCACACACCTATTATAAATTGGCTGGAGCACTCCCCTCTCGTGGATGCAATGAACTCCGTTTCGAGCCAAAGTCGATAAATATTTATGATTCACGGTACGCCATTGATGATTACTCCTTTTTCAAAAGTCATTTGAGAACAATATCAGTTACAGAACTCAACAAAACATTATATCAGATCAAATATTCGTTTTCGGTGCCTCCGAGAGGGCGTTCACATCCGGAAACTTAACATCTAAGAACGCGTTTAGGTAATGATAAGTATTCTTACCACAGCTTTTATTTTAAAAGTTCCCTGTCCATCGTCTTCTGCCGCTATGACGTACTGTTTCCCACTTTCCAAGTGCTTGAAGAATAGTTTCCCATTTTGTGTGCCGTCATACACATTTGTTATTATGGCTAATTAAAAAGAGATTACGTCGACATCAGTGGATTAAACTAGAAGGAAGCAAAGGTGTTTTTATAACTTCGTGACGAAACCTTAACGACCGTTCAATAATTAGCAGGAGGAGCGCTGAAAATGAGCCTTACATAGAGTAATATTACAACATAGCGACCCTCCTCCCAACAAAGGCAAGCTAGCTCTGACCCCCCTCCTGGTCACTTAAAAATTATAACCAACAACCCTCCCCCCACCCCCCTCATCGACTTAGATTTACATGAATTTATAGCCTGCGTGGCAAGCGCAAAAAGGGGGGGGAGGGGGAGGGGGAGGGAGAGGGAGAAAGGGAAAAGGGAAGGGAGCGCCTGCTCTAAGAGCCTATGTTTTTGCATAACGCCTACCAATTTTCTAGTAATCCGATTACGCTTACTGTCAATCAAGTGTCGCTACACTCGCTATTGCAGAAAAACATTACACTCACGAACTAAAGAAATTCGCTTAGTTATTCAAATCCAGAAGGCACTTTGGAGAAAATTGGAACCCTTATTCAGCCGTAATAAAAAAAGCTTTACGCTTCTAAAGAGGTCAAAGAAATTGCACTTGCATCAGAGGGCAAATCCTGCCGACCAGAAAACAATAACTACAGTCAATCGATATGTATGTCATGACCTCTCAGTGTGAAACATGCGGCTAAAATAACATTTGCTCAGTATAAATGCAGAACCTTCCAGAGCATAATCTACCCAGCAGATAAAAACAACTTTATTGGAATAAGCAGCATTTTGGCATGAGGTAAAACCACCCTCTTTTATTGCTAAGTTACATCGGCGAATGTCATCGTTCGATAAATTGGCTAAATCTTTCGCTGGGTAGCCCAACAATTCCATCTCCTGCAACTGGTCTTCGATAATACTTTTCTGTGGCGAAATGACGGGAATCGCCGCATTACCATTTAGCTCGTAGTTCTTCGTGCGTACAAACATTTGGTAAAATCAACTCTTGCCGTATCCGGTGCGCAAAACCGCCAGAACATCACTGTCGGCTAAAAGAGCCCTTAATGCTGATTCTTGCTCTGGTTTTAAAACAGTTTCTCTACCACTAGATAAATTCACATTTCTCAAAGCACTCTCTACGACATCCACGTCTACCGCTGCAATCTCGACTGTTTGTCGATTTGCGAAACGCGCATTTCAATATGTTACTCATTACGGCTAAGCCAATCAGGAATTTGCGGACGCCAGCGTCCGCAGATATGAACAAAAGGGGGTTCTCAGAGCAGGCATCCCCTCCCCCTCTCCCCAATCCCCCTCCCCTTTTTCCCTTCCTCCCTATCCTCTACCCCCTACCCCTTTCGGCGCCTGCTACGCAGGCTAATGAATTTACTCCTTTTGTGATGAAAAGTCAGTTTCAGACGGCTGCGTCCGACACTACAAAAACTACATTTCACAAAGCTGATCATTTCAGAACAGTCCGATTGCGCATCCTCTCCTAAATCGAGAAGGCGGAAGGCGTCCTCGTATGCCTCTATTCGCACGATCTTCATGTGTGCTGAGGTTCAATTGTCCTGAAGGTGCGTGACACTCCCTTTGGGCTAAAAACTTCCTTTAGACTTAATGGTAATTCCTATGGAGGGGACTCTACCTCTTACAAAGGGACACCCCATTCTTTAGACCCTGAATACAGCCCTGTTTAGTTATGTTAAGAAGAAGTAAGCTAAAATATCATGTGAACAGAATTGTTCAAGGCTTTGGTGCTACAATTAATTAATTACTGTTAGTTAATTCTTTGTTACGTTATATTTTGATCACATATAAATCGTGTTTTGTACATGTTAAATCAAATAGAAAGAAATAAGCATTTTCGTTGGTGAGGCAACTTGTTCACAAGAAAATTAGATAACCCCCTCCCCCACCCCCCTCCTTGGAAGGGAAACTTTCATGTTGCCCTCCTCTTTTAGGCTTCGACTCTTTATGGTACTCCCCGGTCCCTCTGATTTTACAGCCTTCTCCTATTAGATAAAACAAAAAAGTTTGTATCGCATTGAATGCAAAAACTGTTAAGCCACAGAAGTGAATACAAGCCAAGCAACCTTTCTTTCGTCTAGCGAGGAGATAAAACGTTTAAAGACCGTCACGCCGACAGAGGCACTCATACCTCTAACACACCCAAACTTGGTCCTCTAGTCACCAGAAACAGTACAACCATGATTGTTGCAGTCGTTTATGATTTCCGAACATTTTATCATTTTTTCCTTCTTCTAACTTGTGTTAACGAAACGCATTGGACTTTAACTTTTAAGCTCTTTTCCAACTGCTGAGCACTATTTTATTTTTTCACATTTGGGCCATGGGGGTCACATCTGAGCAGTTTTTAATTTCTCTGTTTTTTTTTTTTTTCACCTAAAACTTTGCGCTGTTTACTCGGCCGTTTCGTGGTAAGTCTGGTCATAGTCATGTACAAAGACTGATTTCATGAATAAACACTTTTGCCCTTTGAGCACCATATTTATATCTATGGCCACTTTTTCGACATTTTTTTGAGCATTTTTTCTTTTTCAGAGATTCTTTCAGCGTAATTAGGAAAGGCCTAATTGCCATTCATACAGCTTTAAAGTTACGTATTTATCTCCTTCGCAGGGACTTTTCTCTATTTTCCCCAGTTTTCTCTCGCTCCAGGTGAGGAGAAGAAATGAGACCCTAGAACGTTTTTCCAGTTGGTACTAAAACTGTGCAGTGGCAGGTGGAGTTGGGAGTAGAGGAGAAGAATTGATAGCTTAGGGAAGAGAATATTCTGTTTACTCTGGTTCTTTCTTAAATTTGAAAAGGTAAAAAAATGGTTGCTGTATGGAAAAAAATGTAATCAAACAAGACATGACAAGAAAAGGAAAGCAAAATAATAGAACACTTACTGTTGCCTTTTGTATCACTGAAGGCTCCATTACATAACACAAAGTTATCCTTCAGAGATGGGTCAAGCTGCATCAGGCCGTCACTCTTCCTGCTAAAAAGACTCCAAATGTGATAATTGGTACGATCATAAATTGCTGAACACTCCACCTCTCCTTCCGAGGTCGTTTCTCTTTTATTCTGCCTGCTATGCCTGTTCTCCATCGAATAAATTGTTTTCGATAAAACTGAGTGGAAATGTAGGTTTGCACCGGAATTTAGAGAAGAAGAGGGATCCGTTTCCAGGAAACAGCAAGGATAAGGATGGTCTTCGGCCGCCTCTCCTTCACTTATTCGAGGTTTTTCTTTAAAAAAAAAAAAAAAAACAGTGAGTGTTATAATGTATTCCTCCGCTTCATAGACTAAACAGAGCATGTGCAAAATTTTGGCACGATGATTTCTGGGATGGCTTAGGTGGAAATGCGTTAAATATAATTAGTTAATTAGTCTGTGGTATTTAAAGGCAACCATTAACCAATCATTGCCTTTCCTGACTACCCAAGCGATTCGAGAAATCTTTGCGCTATGATCTCGTACCCATTTTCCCTGCTTTATTCAGTAGCAGATAAATGAAGATAAATATATACGGGGTTCTTTTACTGTGAAACTCACAAAACTGTGAACAGCGGAAATATTTATGAAATGTTACTGTGTTGCGAGAAATAAACCAATAAGGCATGAGATGACTTAACCGCAAACAGCAACGGTAATTAATTCTATTCAATACGAACACACATTGACTGTAATACAATATCAAAAATAATGAAATTGATCCACTATCCACTATGTGTGCTCGCATTGAGTGGAATTTTTAGTATATTTCCTTTAAGGATGAGTACTCTCTCGGTTTGATGGAGAAAATCACCTGGAACATATTTAAACATATGTCGACCAGTGGAACGCCAAATGGCAATAGCACACTGTTAAAGAAATTTCAAGTGCCATATTTGTTCTGAAATAAATCTTGAAACAAGGTTTTTCCTGATTTACTTTTAAAAATGTATTGAAACTCCGCTGTTACGATTCATCGAAAAATGAAAAGAACTACAATTAAATGGCCCAGAGCAATGACTCAGGAACATCATTACGGCCTCTTGTACTTGGAGGACCAACCCTTCTGTTAACAGACTGCCGTCTTTTCTGGTTGGACATACTTTCTCTATAGCAAGAGTCCAAATTGTATAAAAAAAAAAAAAGAAAAAAGAAAAAAAAACGTGGAAACCTCCTCTGATTTCCACTCTAGGGACCTTGTTAGACTGGAATGTGTAAGTAACTCCCTAGAGGACCAAACCTGGATATAACCGAACCGTCTTTTACTTACCGTATGCCTGTGCGATGAATATACACCCCAGCAAGTCAAGCAGCCGGAGCCTTTTGATGGCTTCCGTGTGCTTTAAACCTTGCGTACAGGAGTGTGAAACATGCTTAAACTGATTTAAATGTAGCATTTATACATATACTTTTTCAGTCGAAATCGGAAGTGAGTCTTAAGTGTGTAAGCAATTGTAAATTAATGACTCTTATTTGTGAACGAAGGCGATGAAGAAACTAACTCCTAATCTTACCGAAGAGGATTCTAGTCAGTGTTTGAAAATTTTATCGTAGTACACAGTTAAGAAGACGAAAATCGACTGGCACAGATTCGAGATGTTTTGCCTAAGAGAAAATGAGTAATTTCTTCGACAAATATGATAACAAACATACCTGCACCCGATCATCTTGACAAGCTTCTTTGTCATTTGCAGTGTTTTTTCAAAGACCAACGAAAGAAAGATAGAAGCGAGTTCTAGCCAGACACAATGTCCAGTTTTCAAAAGACTCCAACGTCACATGAACGAGTGAATACTTACACTGCTCTTAGTTTTGATCGACTAAACTTTAAAATATGTCTGTAAACCCTGAGGACTGGTATGTTGACTTTGCCTTTCCAAATTTTAACCTAGCTTTAACGAAGCTGATGTAGAAACTGAATCGTAACCTTACCGAGGAAGAGAATTCTAGTCAGTGTTTGAAAATTTTCACGAAGATCACAGTTGAAGACGAGAATAAACTGGCAGAAAGAGAGGTTTTCCCAAAAACAATAAAAGAGCGAGTCCTTCGACAATGACAACAAACTTACCTTGAAAAGCTTCTCTGCCTTTTGCAGTGTTTTTCTTTACAAGGAAAAACGGAGGAAAGATGGAAACGACTTCTAGACAGACGCAGTGTCCGGTTTCCAAGAAAATCCAGCGTTACATTAAAGAGCTAAACCTTACAGTGCTCTTAGTTTTGACCGAATAAACTTTTTCAACATGGCGAACTTCTTTTTACTTTCTCGGAAAGCCTTTGTTATGTGCTATTGTTTTGGTGCGTCAATAAAAACTTTCTTTTTTGACGCCTGTGAAATGACTAATAAGTGGTATGTAGTAAGGACATATTTGTTTGTTTGGTCAGCCTAACACATAAGTTGCAAGCAAACCTCGTACTTAGACACTGCGATCGTTTTTGTCACCACCTGGGACAAACATGTATGCCGTTGCATAACTTAGCTAAAAGTTTTCAGTCTCTCCTTAGAAAAAAAGGCTCCAGGAAAAAAATCCAAATCAGTTGGAAAATGGATTCACCCTTCTGTTTACTACAATACCTTTTGAATCTAAAGAATCCATTCGCATAGTAGAATCAGTGGTGGATCAAATCTCAGCCTGTGTTTCTTTAAGAGAATCAGATTCCGTAAACTTATATTAAATCTAGAAAATAATTCTCTTATTTCATTTAAGTAAATGGAAAATCGTCTTCGAAAGCCTCTGAATCCATTCGGCGTGGATTTAATGGACTACATATAATTGGGAAACTCGGATTTGAGACCTCTGTTGTTTTTGGTTGGGGTAAGGAATAAATCAGAGGACATGCTTCCTGCAAAATATTTGCGTCAGGCACAAAAGCCTCACCATCCTATTAGGATTGCCTCTTTGGAAAAATCAGAATCCGTCTTTTTTATGAAACAACGTTCGCAAACGCCAATTTGAGCCATAAGTGGCCGTCAAGCATAGCAAGGCACG